TTAATAAAGGCTCTTAAATTTAAATTCTGAGTCGGTGGTCTGTCTCGCTGAGTGAATCCATAACACGCCCAGGCCACAGCCTCTCCCGCCGAGGAGCTGCAAGTCCGTGGACCTGGGACAGTGGGGCGTCCCTCCACCTCCATGCGTCTGGACAGTTTCTGCCCCTTCTGCCTTCCATGCCCTCCTTCCTCCTTCCTCCACAGCCCCCTTTCCCTGACCCCTGTCCCAGGCGAGCCTCCTGTCCCAGGCGAGCCTCCTGCCCCAGGGGAGCCCCCTGCCCGCCCTGCCTCACCTCCAGGAAGCCCGGGAGCTCCTTCTCCAGCAGCACCCTCAGCTCCTCCTTGCTCAGGCTCCGCCTGCTGCTGTGTGTCCCTGCGTAGCGGACAAACACCTGGATGATCATGACGATGGCAGCCTTCAGGTTAGCTACAGGTGCCTCAGCCACGGTTGCCTCAGCCTCGGGTGGCTCAGCCACAGGTGCCTCAGCTGCGAGAGTCCATGGCCAGCATGGCTTTCGTGGGTTCAAAGACTTGGACGGAGGGCTGACGCACAAATGATACACAGAAGACGGAATATTAATTTTTATAATTACCCGTGAAGTATGGTGCCTATTTGCTTTGTTTTACAATGGACAGGTTATTTTGATTTTCTGAATTATATAAATCATTCCTTTCCATGATTTATTGTAATGTGAAATCCCATTTGTAGTGGTCATACTGGTTTTAGAAAGCACATTCTTCTGTACCTGGGAAACAGGACAGCACAATTATCCTAAATAGTTCCAGTTGAGTTTGTGGTGCCAAGACCAGGACCGTGCAATTACTCTGAATTGCCTCGATGGCTCTAGGTAATGAGTTCTTGGCAACTCAGGGGTCTCAAGACCCGAGGGCTCTAGATAAGGTGTTTCTGTCAATTCAGTGACCCCGAGACCCAAAGCTATAATTAACATGCTTAATTCTGCTTCTGTACACTGCTTTTATGCAAACCAGGTTCCTCATTCCACACCAGGTGGTTCATGAATTCCTGTATTTGCCAGTGGGCCTGGTCCCTCTACTGGGCAGAGACCTTTTAGCCAAGATGGAAGCAGAAACCACTTTTGCCCCAGATGGCTCAGCACAGCCTTGCCTAGGTGAAGAGACCTCTCCAATGATCCTGTCCTTAGCAGTGCCCAGGGAGGAAGAATGGAGACTTTATACCCCCGAGCCAAAGGCCCCCACATCTGTTCCTGTCAGGCCCCCATCAGGGGACTTGGGCAGTGTTCCTGTTATCTGCTCAAGATCCCAAGACTGTAAAAGTACTTGTTCACTGAAAAGGTGTAAGTGTGGATGTTTATTTGATGTTTGTATGTCTACTTAGGTGTAATTATTTGTTCGTGTAAGTGTGGAAGTCTGCGAGGAAATAAAAAGTGTTTGATTTAAGGCTGAGTGCCCTGACCGAGAGCAAAACACCCGCAAGCGGGGAGGAGTACAGTTGGAAATATTTAAGCTTATGGCCGCTGTAGGTAGCATTTCTTTGCATCATGATAACCTTACAGTGATCACAGGTCTTACTGCCAGTGTTCCTCCTACTTACCGTCTCCTTATTGGAATTGCAGATATTGTACTTAAGGTAAAAATGTATACAATCTCTTGTACTCATGCGAGTCAAAAAGTTTGCCCAACCCTGCTCTAGAGACTCTAGATACAACTTTGGTTATGAGGTGGTTGTATTACATCAGCCTTCCTTTGTCATGCTCCCAGTTAATATTACTGGACCTTGGTACAGGGATACAGGCTCCCATATTAAGAGAACTGAGTGATTTGCTAAGCTGCCCTAAGAGGTTCATCAGAGTGCTTATTCCTGGCCTCGTGGCTCGAGTCTATCTCATTGCTACTGCCACTACTGCAGCCATAGCTTGAAGCCAAGAAATACACACAGCTCATTTTGTGGATGGCTTGGCGAAGAACGTTTCAGATGCCTCAGGAGCTCAAGAGCCCATAGATAAGAAAATAGAAGAAAGGCTCAGTGCACTAGAAGAAGCTGTGCTCCTTACAGGAGATCAAATGCACAGCTTGAAAGTGCGTTCTACCCTTCGGTGTTGTGCTGAGTTTGATTGGATTTGTGGGGTGGCCTGGAGGGGATCCATGGGGGGCAACGGGGGGACATATGTAATACTTTCAACAAGAAAGGTTTATTTTAAAAAGAGAGCTTTGGCAATCAAAATAACAACCAATAAAAACTGCTTTTGGACATGGCTCTGGCTTCAGGAGGACTTGGATGCAGGTACCAGCCCCCCCAACCCCACCAAGCTGTGAACTGAGCGGTGGCTGTGGACGTCACCAGGAGGTGTGGGCGTTCTGCATCGGATCAGAGCCCTGCACAGAGAAGGCTCACAGAGGACCCAGGAGGGAATCTGCTCAGTAGGAGGCCCTGGAAGAGCCAGGATGAGAGAGACATTCCAGGGCAGCCCCGCCGTGGGAGCTGCAGACACAGGAGAAAGGATCTCTGAGCAGCTGCGCCAGGTAGCCGGGCAATGGGGGTGCTGCATGGAGGCAGGGGCTTGTCAGGACAGAAGCCAGGTCCTGGAGGGCAGGGCGTGTGCCATTCTCGGGCTCCAGGTCTGGGTTCCCAGGTGGAAGGCACAACCCCCGCCCCCCAGGTGATGGCTCAGAGGGACTTCTCTCCCTTAAGACGCTGAGACCTGCAGAACCAGGGCAGGACCCGGAGCTGGAACTTCTCCTCCCACCTGCTGCAACCCTGGAGCGCTGTTCTGGTCCCCCACCCCTCTCGGCATCAACTGGGGGAAGTGAGGCCGGGAGCGAGGGCTCTGATGCAACTGCAGCTTCTGTGACTTTGTCACCCACAGGACGTGACGCACTTGTGAAGGAGCAGGACAGAGGAAGAGTGATGTCCACTCTGGCACACTCTCTCAGCGCCCCAGCCATGGCCACGGACACGGCCATGGGCTTTTCCCCGCCTTCCTCCTACGTGTGTGTCTGCTCCTAATGTCGTGCAACCCTCCCTCGTCCCAAACACGGGCCAGCCCCCCGCCCAGGGACCAGCCGCAGTCTCCGGCAAGCGTGTCCACCGCCACGCTCAGGGTCCCTCAGCGATGCACGCCCCTTCCTGCTCTGGTGACACTGACTCAGATAGAAGAGACTCCGCTGCCTGAACCAGGTCGGCGCTGACCTGCCGGCCTCCGTGAGTCACGGGCTGCTCCCTGGAGGCACTGGTCATGCGGCCGGGCCTTCCCTGCTGGGGATCCCGGTCCTCACGGATCCCTCCTCTCTCAGGCTGGCACTGTGCTCTACGGTCTTCGTGGCTAAAGAAGAAAACAGTGGCACTGCGCCCGTGAAGAGGTGTGACCTGAGGAATCAGGCCCGGAGAGGCCATCAGCTCGCTCACCCCAGAGAAACCACTGCTGCCAAGAGCTTCCTGGCAGCCAGGCCACCCCTCCCTCCCTGCAACGTCCCTCCCCGCTCCCGCCACCCGTCCCTTCAGGTTATCCACGGGTGCCGCAGCCATGGGTGCCTCAGCTGCAGTGCCTCAGCCATGGGTGCGGTGCCCCAGCCACGGGTTCCTCAGCCTCGGGTACCTCAGCCTCGGGTACCTCAGCCTCGGGTGCCTCAGCCATGGGTGCCTCAGCCATGGGTGCCTCAGCCATGGGTGCCTCAGCCATGGGTGCCTCAGCCATGGGTGCCTCAGCCATGGGTGCCTCAGCCATGGGTGCCTCAGCCATGGGTGCCTCAGCCATGGGTGCCTCAGCCATGGGTGCCTCAGCCATGGGTGCCTCAGCCAAGAGTGCCTCAGCCATGGGTGGAATGCATAAGCCACGGGTGCGCATCCTCAGCCACAGGTGCCTCAGGGACGGGTACAGTGCCTCAGCCACAGGTTCCTCAGCCATGGGTCTGGTGCCTAAGCCATGGGTGCGGTTCCTCAACCATGGGTGCCTCAGCCATGAGTGCCTCAGCCATGGGTTCCTCAGCCCCGGGTGCCTCAGCCATGGGTTCCTCAACCCCGGGTGCAGTGCTTCAGCCTCGGGTAC